TTGTCATAGTGGTCGGAAAATCACATCAGTATTGTCATAGTGGCCGGACAATCACATCAGTATTGTCATAGTGGCCAGACAATCACATCGGTATTGTCATAGTGGCCGGACAGTCACATCAGTATTGTCATAGTGGTCAGAAAATCACATCGGTATTGTCATATTGTTATAGTGGCCGGACAGTCACATCAGTATTGTCATAGTGGCCGGACAGACACATCAGCATGTCATAGTGGCCGGACAGTCACATTGGTATTGTCATAGTGGCTGGACAGTCACATTGGTATTGTCATAGTGGCCGGACAGTCACATCGGCATGTTATAGTGTCTGGACAGTCACATTGGTCTTGTCATAGTGGCCGGACAGTCACATCGGCATGTCATAGTGGCCGGACAGACACACCGGCATGTCATAGTGGCCGGACAGTCACATTGGTATTGTCATAGTGGCCGGACAGTCACATCGGCATGTTATAGTGTCTGGACGATCACATTGGTATTGTCATAGTGGCCGGACAATCACATCAGTATTGTCATAGTGGCCGGACAATCACATCGGTATTGTCATAGTGGCCGGACAATCACATCAGTATTGTCATAGTGGCCGGACAATCACATCAGTATTGTCATAGTGGCCAGACAATCACATCGGTATTGTCATAGTGGCCGGACAATCACATCAGTATTGTCATAGTGGCCGGACAAGCACATCAGTATTGTCATAGTGGCCAGACAATCACATCGGTATTGTCATAGTGGCCGGACAGTCACATCAGTATTGTCATAGTGGTCGGAAAATCACATCGGTATTGTCATAGTGGCCGGACAATCACATCAGTATTGTCATAGTGGCCGGACAATCACATCGGTATTGTCATAGTGGCTGGACAGTCACATCGGTATTGTCATATTGTCATAGTGGCCGGACAGTCACATCAATATTGTCATAGTGGCCGGACAGACACATCAGCATGTCATAGTGGCCGGAACAGTCACATTGGTATTGTCATAGTGG